TATATATACACACACACACACACATACACATATATATATATATATATATCTTTATTGATTTGAGAGGGAGGAAGAGATAGAAACACCCATGATGAGAGAGTCATTGGGGATCAAGCCCGCAACCCGGGCATGTGCCCTGACCGGGAATCGAACCTCGATCTCCTGGATCCTAGGTCGACGCTCAACTGCCGAGCCGAGCCACACCCGGCCCGGCAGAATAATTCTTGACTCCACTGTCTTCTCCATCTCCCATGTTTAATTCCTCTGCCCTGTCTGTTCTAAGTCCAAAGTAGAACTCCAACCCATCTCCTCCATCTCCTCCTCTCCAGCGCCACCCCTGTGGTCTAATTCATCATCATCTTTGTCCTGCGCCACAGCTTTCAAACTGAGCTCTTTGGTTTTCTTCTCACCTTCCTCCAGTGGGAGATGCCCAGGGGAGGTCCCTCTGCTCCTTTTCTGAAACGCAGCATCTAATGCATGCAGGGACCTCTTTCTGAACAGAGGTCACCAGAAGCTGCTCACCATGGGTACCACCGAAGACGAGGTAGCCAAAGGTTATCGGATATCCACCTGCTGAATGGCTCTCCTGTAAAGTTAATATGCCAGGCAACAGGACCAACCCTTTCCACCTCTAGAAGAGTGGTCACATAGCTTGAAATGCGTGTAGACATGTGCCCCATTTTACAAAGACGANAAAGATGAGGTAGCCAAAGGTTATCGGATATCCACCTGCTGAATGGCTCTCCTGTAAAGTTAATATGCCAGGCAACAGGACCAACCCTTTCCACCTCTAGAAGAGTGGTCACATAGCTTGAAATGCGTGTAGACATGTGCCCCATTTTACAAAGACGATGTAACCCAGAAAACGGCAAACAAACCAAAGTTTGGGTAAGTCCTATCCTTCTTTAACTATCTTAGGGTGTTGGGTGGTTAGATGCTTTTCTTTTTGTAATGCAAGGGACGTCAATAACAAATTCCTGATTTATGTATTTTATAAGTATGGATTTTTTAAGTTCCATTTTCTTACACTAGGCCACCTCCGCTGTGCGCCTCCATCTCAGACCCCTTTGCTGATTCCTCTGTATCAGCGCCATAGATGCTGGCATTGGTAAAGACTCGACACTACATCGTTTTTCCTTCTTTATCTACATTTTTTCCTGAGGTGCAGCTAACTCCCAAATAAGATCTCTAATTTTCATCACTAGATTCCCGCACCCGGACATCTACTTGTCATTTCTCCTCGGTATCTAACNCACTAGATTCCCGCATCCGGACATCTACTTGTCATTTCTCCTCGGTATCTAACGTTATCTCGAACTTAACACTTCCAAAATCTTAGTTTGTCTCTATGCCTCAGTCTTTTCCATCCCTGAAAATAATGTCCCAATCCCTCAGTTACAGAACGCCTGCTATCTGGTTAACAAGATTACTATAAACAGGAGTGCACCTTTGAACTGCAGGGGGCCCAGTTAACACATTACCATCAACCTTGAACAGCTGTCACATAGATAAGATTACTGGGCACAAGGTAATAAGAGGGGTAGGTGGGGAGTATAGAATTAGCTCAGCACCATCTGCCAACGTTATTGAAACAGATAATTCAAAGAAAAGATCTGTAGGATCCAGATTAATGTTACATATGAGTAGAAAACATCATTCTCACTTATGACTTATGTCCAGACCAACCCTTATTCAAATGCAACTCTCACAAGCAAGGGTCACTCAAAATTAGCATTACTAGTGACTCATTTTGGAGGATTTTAGAGAGCAATGCATGTGGGGTAGATGATGTGAGAAGTCTCCCCTCCTATGTCAGCTTTTACATGTTTCATTACTTATTTCTCAAGATCTAAAAGTGGTCCCTCTCCCGTCCATGCTGCTGGCTCTGGAATGAAAATCGGCCCAGGTCAGTCTGAAAGTGGGGGCAGAGATAGAGGGGTACACATGGGGGTGGTGAGAAAATATTGTGTGTGACTGAGTTTTTTAAATTGAACTGATAGAGAAATTCTTGGACTTGACTGAGTTTATTTAAATATAACTAGGTTAAGCATCTGCAGCAGACAGAAAGAAGACTCAAAATAGCAGTAGAGATTAAGCTGTATTCTATTACAATAAAGTTACATGCTTGTACATCCAGACTATGGCTTATGAAATTTGCATCCACTATGCATATAAACAAATTTATGGGATCCTTTAGACATTAAGGCTTTCTGTCTTTGGTTTAGAGAGATAGAGAAATTAGTTCCACTATGGACTAAAGGATCAACTTTATTGTATTTTTCTGAAGCCAGATTCTGGAGCTTAATAGTTTTGAAAGTCAAGTTTAATCAGCCTATTTTGTTCACAAAGCACTCGCAAACACAGAGGCAATGCCATCAGCATGTAATCCCACAATTAACTGACTCTGTAAGTTTAGGCAATCTTCAATTATTCCCTGGAATAAATGGATAGCGGCGTTAATGTTATATATATAGGTTTTGTTCTCATATACATTAAGGACAAATTTCTCATGTTTCTCTGTCTTTTAATCATGGAAAAAGGTATACGTAGAAAAGGAACATGTCTTCTACAGTAATTACCTATAACTTCAAAAATGAGAAGAATCCACCAGGCTTACCATGGCCCAGTAGCTGAGCATCGACCTAGGATCCAGGAGATAGGGGTTCGATTCCCCATCAGGGCACATGCCTGGGTTGGGGGTTCGATCCCCAGTCGGGGGCCTGCAGGAGGCAGCCGATCAATGACTCTCTCATCATTGATGTTTCTCTCTCTCTCCCTCTCCCTTCCTCTCTCTGAAATCAATAAAGACATATTTTTTTTAAAAAGATAAGTATCTTAAATATATGAACTCTTTTTTTAATGAGCAAAATAAACGCCTGCCTTTACCTTCACACCAGGGATTGAAGAGAATGTAGGTGTCGGTCTCGGGGTTCCGGTTGGTGCGGAGTATCCCATAGGGGGTCCAGACGGCCACGTACATGCGGAATTTCCCCACAATGCACTCGGGGGAAGACTGGATGGACAGCCGTACAGACCTGTCCTGTCGCATGATGACTTTGGCCCCCCACTTGCCTCTTTTCAGCTCGGACACCACGGGAACTGGGATGTAGGTTCCCTTGTTCTCCTGAGGGTAGCGCCCTAGAGGAAGAAAGAAAAAACACGAGTTGAGGTTCCACAAACCGATTTTGTCCTCACTCTGCCGTCCTAGAGCTGAAGGTGGAAAGTAATTTACTGCGTTACACTTGAAATCACAAGCACTGGGTTGAATTTCATTCTGCTACCAGGATGGTAGTCCATTTTCTTAACTTCTTTGAGGCTCAGGTTTGTCATGTCTAGCTAAAAAGAAATAACAGTATTTATAGGGATTTTGATTGCTTGATTGGCCACCTATCTAATTCAAATAAGATACAGAAATGCTAACCTGGGGTGCAAAACCAAAAACGGGTCCATAGGGCACTGTGAAGTTATCCCTGAGTTCCTGTTCTCTAAAAAGCTAGCATTGCTTTTTTAAGGTCATAAGGTGAACGTTTATGTTTATTCCTAGTCTGTATATAATTTTTATTTGTTATATTACATATAATAGGATTATATGTATAGGTTGTCATAGGGAACCAGTTTCACATTCACCCAAGATGTGGTTATTGCCAGCCTCACGAACGGTCTAGGCGTGTGTCCCAGGCAAGCGTTCCGCTGCAGGGACACTGTCTGGCTTGGAGCGCTGGCTCTGCTCCGTCCCCAGCTCGCAACCCCTGGCAAATTACTTGACCCCTACAAATCCCTCCTTCCTTCTCTTTTTCTTCATCAGCAAATGGGGATGCTAATACTATCTAAGGGCGAAATAAAATAATACGAGTAAGATACTTAGCACACAATTTCCGATGCATAACACATTTTTAGCTGTTATTTCAATAGATTAAACATCCTGGGTACATTTGACCACGTTTGCAGGCTCTTCATACTTTATATACAAGCTGTGTCAGGGTAAATCTTTCTCTTTATTACTACCATCTAGGACCAAATTCTTATTTCATATGTTAACTTCATAACTGGATTTTACCAATGGGCTCCTGAAAAATCAGCCTTCACCATATGTAGAAATTCAACCCCCCAGCACTCTTTAACTCTTTTACTTACAGCTTAATTTACAGTTTAGTTGATAAGGTAATCAAGCACATTAATAATTTAAACTGAAGCAAATCTTTCAGCTATACATATTTAATTCTTCACTTGGCTAAAAATGCACATCAGACTAAGTCTGTACATTATTTTGATTGAAAACAGAAGAAACTGCAAGAACAAAACTCATGCACTTTAATTGTTTTATATAAAACACGTAAGGGACACTACATTAAAGCAAACAAAAAAGATGCTTCATTTTGGCATCTGCAGTTGCAGAGGCCTCTCAAATATTCTTTGGCTGGAGACAGCGAGGAGGTGGGTACATGAGTTACTGCAGGGAGACACTTAATCTTAATGAAAATAATTTAGACTGTGCAAGACGGGGAGAAAGATTAGAACCCCAGTGCTTTGCTGTGTGTTAGGGATATCAGTTAATCACCACTCAGAATGAATATTATCATAAATCTGATAAAGCTTTAAAAATGGGTTTGTGCCAAGGTGCGACAGTGTCCAGGTGGTGTTCCTGGGACTGTGGGGCTCAGCTTCCGAGAAGCCTGCAGGAAACGCCACTTGGAAAAGCTGCTTGCTCCAAATGCACCTCCTCCCCAGGTTTCCTGTGCATGCTCCTCTCTGCGCACGTTCCACCGGGGCTGAGGTCACCCTTTCCTCTGGAGGCTTGTAGCCCCCCGGAGCCCCATCACTGTTGAAGGGCAGGCATCAGAGGCAATCTTGCCCACTAAATGGGACCATAATTCGTTCACTACAGTAGCTCCCGGCAGCTGTTGTCACTAAATACTAGCTTGGATTTAACATACATAGTATTAAGTACGACACAAGTTTAGTAAAAATAAACTTTGAGAGAAAAAAACTATGTGAAAATGACAGATTTATGTATTTTTTTTAAAAAAAGATGAAGGAATTTTGAAATGAATTACATAAAGACACTCCTTCGGGAACAGCAAAGAACTAGGGGAATGTATGTGAACGTGCTGTGTGCTGTGTGCTGTGTGCTGTGTGTAGTGCTGTGTGCAGTGCTGTGTGCAGTGCTGTGTGCTGTGCTGTGTGCTCTGTGCTGTGTGCAGTGCTGTGTGCTCTGTGCTGTGTGCTGTGTGCAGTGCTGTGTGCAGTGCTGTGTGCTCTGTGCTGTGTGCAGTGCTGTGTGCTGTGCTGTGTGCTGTGCTGTGTGCTGTGCTGTGTGCAGTGTTGTGTGCTCTGTGCTGTGTGCTCTGTGCTGTGTGCTGTGCTGTGTGTTCTGTGCTGTGTGCAGTGCTGTGTGTTGTGCTGTGTTCTCTGTGCTGTGTTCTGTGCTGTGTGCAGTGCTGTGTGCTCTGTGCTGTGTGCAGTGCTGTGTGCAGTGCTGTGTGCTCTGTGCTGTGTGCAGTGCTGTGTGCTCTGTGCTGTGTGCTGTGCGCAGTGCTGTGTGCAGTGCTGTGTGCTCTGTGCTGTGTGCAGTGCTGTGTGCAGTGCTGTGTGCTCTGTGCTGTGTGCAGTGCTGTGTGCAGTGCTGTGTGCAGTGCTGTGTGCTGTGCTGTGTGCTCTGTACTGTGTGTAGTGCTGTGTGCTGTGCTGTGTGCTGTGCTGTGTGCTCTGTGCTGTGTGCAGTGCTGTGTGCAGTGCTGTGTGCTCTGTGCTGTGTGCAGTGCTGTGTGCTGTGCTGTGTGCTCTGTGCTGTGTGCTGTGCTGTGTGCTGTGCTGTGTGCTCTGTGCTGTGTGCAGTGCTGTGTGCAGTGCTGTGTGCTCTGTGCTGTGTGCAGTGCTGTGTGCAGTGCTGTGTGCTCTGTGCTGTGTGCAGTGCTGTGTGCAGTGCTGTGTGCTCTGTGCTGTGTGCAGTGCTGTGTGCAGTGCTGTGTGCTCTGTGCTGTGTGCAGTGCTGTGTGCAGTGCTGTGTGCTCTGTGCTGTGTGCAGTGCTGTGTGCAGTGCTGTGTGCTCTGTGCTGTGTGCAGTGCTGTGTGCAGTGCTGTGTGCTCTGTGCTGTGTGCAGTGCTGTGTGCAGTGCTGTGTGCTCTGTGCTGTGTGCAGTGCTGTGTGCAGTGCTGTGTGCTCTGTGCTGTGTGCAGTGCTGTGTGCAGTGCTGTGTGCAGTGCTGTGTGCTGTGCTGTGTGCTCTGTGCTGTGTGCTGTGCTGTGTGCTCTGTGCTGTGTGCAGTGCTGTGTGTTGTGCTGTGTTCTCTGTGCTGTGTGCTGTGCTGTGTGCTGTGCTGTGTGCAGTATTCTATGCTCTGCTCTGTGTGTTGTGTGCTGTGTGCTCTGTGCTATGAGCCTCAGNAGTATTCTTTGCTCTGCTCTGTGTGTTGTGTGCTGTGTGCTCTGTGCTATGAGCCTCAGCATCATCTTTGTACTAACAACCACTTTTGTTGGGTGCATTGAAATAATGAAGACAATTACTAGTTTCCATTATTACATTTCAAATTATGATTTCAAATGCTCATTAAATTTGACCTATCGAATTCACATTATACAAAAAAATATGTTGGTTTTGAAACCAGACATGACCTAATTTAAAGACTCTAGTTTATTCGAACGGTATTCATTCATACAACAATTGCCTACTACGTGCTCGGAGTTACTCTAAGTGCTGGGGACACAACAGTGAATGCGACTGACTCCCGTGATCATGCAGCCTGCAGGCTGTACACAGAGCTCATGCCTGTGCTGCTTTATTACTTATAACAAACTGTGTGTGTTTGGAGGGGATCATTATTACCATCATTCTAATTTGACAAATCAGAAAACTAAGACACGAGGTCATTAGGAAATCTGTCCGAAGTGACGCGGCTGGTAAGCAGTGGAGCTGGGACTTGAACCAGGGCACCTGGCTGAGAGCCTGAGAGTTCAGCCCTCAGCTCCCTGGCAGCTGCGTGTGTAGAGAGCGCTTTGCAGTTGGTGAGAGCTAGTCCCAGTTATCACTCCCTGTTAGCTATTGCCTGAGCTTTCCTTTCCGTGTCTCTTTGCAGTTTAGTTCTGGAAATGAAAAAAAATATTTTTATAATATAATGGAAGCTTTATGCCTGGCGCGCAGTATGGGCCGACTCCGATATATGTATTGTTTGTGTTTGAAACAGCTACTGGAAAGTGAAGATGGAAGGAGAGGCCCTTCGACCAGCTCTGGTTCTAAATCTGAAGCAAGGTGGGTGTCCCGGGGAAAGCCAGCTGCTTCTGTTGCGGGAGTTGTGGCCCCGGGGAAAGCAGCCTGACCCTTAGGGTGTGAGTGTGGGCAAAGCACTCATCCGCTCTCTGCTTGTCAAGCCTCTGCCTTGTCCTGCGAAGTGTTTGTGAGGAGAAGGGCTGCTCAGTTGTGGCCGTTGCTGTTGTGATTTCCCCACTCTCTCTGGCTTTCCGATGCCTCTGCGCCGGGAGCTGGGAGGCCAGGGTGGGGTCCCTGACCACTGACAAACCCACGGAACCCAAATCTACCTTCAAAGGCTAGTTCACTCAAGATCCTAAAATCTTGAGCTGACTACTATTTCTGTCAGAAGAACTTACGCAGGCCACCCTGCTGCACGTGTGTGCACATGCACACACACACACACACACACACACACGATGGTGTTCACTATTAACCAAAAAGCCTTAATAACTCCAGAATTATTATGAAAGAATTACCCGACACCTGTACCCCATGCATAATTCCTGACTTCCTTCATCATTCATGGTCACTGTAATCTCCACTCATGTCCCAGCGCAGGAGTTGGCAAACTAGAGTCCAGGGAGTAGATGCAGGTTGCCACCTACTTGTGTGAATAAAGTTTTATTGGAATGCAATCCACCTCCTTCATTTGTGCGTTATTGGCTACAGCAGCAGAGCTGAGTAGACCACATGGTCGGCAATGCCTAAACTATTCAGTATGTAGCCCTTACGATAAAACTTTACCAACTTTGCCTTAGGGAATTTTACGTTTTATTATTTAAGCGGTAATTTACTATAGACACAGAAGTCTAAGACTTGGGCCTAAGAAGAAAGTATCATCACCTGTTTTTTTCTTCCAAAGAGAAATTTATTATTAAACAAACAACAAACA